TACAGTTAAAGAGGTAAGAAGGTAGACAGCAAAAATATGATCTAAACTATTGAAGTATTATCACATGCAAAATACTGGCACAAGATCTTAGTTAAAAGTGACTGAAACACATGGGTAGTTTATGCTGCATCTCTCTTGCTTCAGTCCCTGAAAGCACAGAGAGGGGCTGCTGTGCTACACCTCCAAATTACTCCTTGAAGGTTTTGCTTTTTCTTTTTTCTCTTTTTACTTTTTTTTTCTCTCTACTGTAACAACTGAAGTTTGAAAAAAACAAATGCTGAGGCTTTGGAGAGCAGCTAAATATCATTTCACCTCGGAAAAATACTCAGAAAAAGAAAAAAAAAACAGAATTTGTGATATAGAAAAATGAGCAGAAAATCAGTCATAGAAATACACTTGGAATGTATTTTCATACAGGAAAGTGTTTTTATATAAATAATTCTGTGCACCATATTACAGTTTTGAATGTTCTCCTGGAAGCAATTAGACACTTGAAGATCTCTGTGCTCGCTCTAATCTCCCCATTTCTCCCYCTACCTGAATCTGACATACTTTGACATCCTTGCTTGTTAGAATGGAAATTCAACATTCAGACAGGGCAAGCAATGAAAAGGCAAAAAAAAGCATAAAATTAGGTTGTGAAATCTGTATGTTCTGTAAGGAACATGGAGGTCTACACAAAACTTTCAGTTTCCCATTTCTGTAATTTTAAACAAAAACTAGCTGGCCGGAGATGCTAATCCAAGTTTTGAAATATTCACCACCATTTTCCTGCTTTATCTGAAAGAAATTGCTTCAGTGTTTAGAATTGTGGGTAGATACTGAGCAACATTACGTCTTCTAGCCTACTACCTTGCCAGAGAATTGTTTCTAATGCTACGCTATTATTCTATTTTAAGACTCTTAAGCAACAGGGCTTTCATCACTTGAGTTGCAAGATTATTTTACAGACAGTTATATTCTATGACTAAGAAGTATTTCCTGATATTATGCTTCCATTTTTCCATTTCCTAAACTAATAACAGTTATCCAATCATTCTAAAAAATCGTTCTTTCTTCCAGTGTTGCATACATCCACCTGTTTCATAGTGTTTAATGGACTGTTTTCCACATAGTACTTACAGCATGTTAGAGCCTGTTCTGATTAAGTACAGAAAATTAATCATGTGAGCAGAATATTCATCCYACTAGTAGAAATACAGATACAAGCAACCCAAAGAGCTCTGAGGAGCCTCTAACAAGTCTTTAAACAAGTAAAACAGAAACTTCTCCCCGAGCCCTCTACCCTCCTGTTGAATTACAAGATAATTCTGGAAACCCCATATCACAGCTATGGAAACTTTAGTGTATTACCTTCAGATTCAAAAGCTTTTAAGCAAACTTTATCAGGGCAGATAGAGGAGACAGTTCAGTAAGGTACATAAAACTAGAAGAGAAWTTATTCAGTTTAGTTGAGCATGAGATTTTTCATTTCCATTAACAATCTGTTCACTTCAAATCATACCAGTTTCAAACACTGGCCTCACTTAGCTACTCATTTGCTTTTTCTCGTACTTAACAGAACACTCAGGCCCCTCTTATACAGCTGAAATACTGAAATTTTAAATTCTAGCCAGTTTTGAGCAGAGCAGAGCAGCCCAGCTATGCCCCACGTCAACAAGACCAGTGAGTTATTGGGGAACCACTGGACAGCCTGCTCAGTCCAYGTGGAGGGAAAAGAGCAACATCCCTCCACTGCAAACCCATTTGCTTGAGTCAATAAGTGATGTGAGTGACTGCCAGAACCAGTCAGCTGAGCAGACCGGGATGTTGCATCCAGGTTTGCAGRTCTCAGAAAGGTCATGGAAAGTGCAGAAACCTGATTAAGAACAAAGCTGCTGCATCTCAGCTTCCTTAAGAAACTTCCTCATCACACAGATGTCATGCCTCTTTAGACTAAACAAACTTGGTTTGCTCTCTAGAGAGCATTTAATCACTATTAGTATGGCAAAATGAGGTATTAGTTGGGATTTTGGGGAAGAAATGTAGCCATCACAGGTTCTGGAAAGAGCTACCACTGTGAAACATCTGGTAGGGCAGAAAAAAACGGAAATAGGAGGTTTCAGGACTGAAATTTCTTCAGGACTGAAATCTTTACCAAAAATGCTCTCCCTGCAAGACAGACTTGTGATTTCCTCTCGCCCAGCTATAGCCAACTGCTTTTCAGAAGCTGATATATTTTGAAATATTAAAGAAACGCATTAGAGATGCGTTTCACTCTGACAGATAAAGATCTTGAGGTGAGCCTGTCCTCTTGCAATGGTGGCAACCCCCCCAGTTATAACACGTACAGCCTTGTAAGCTGTTTTCAATTATTTTCTGTCTCCCTGGCACACAGAGACATCGCTTAAATAGGAAACTGTGTTATCATACATCTTGGACGATTTCTAAAGTTAGATCATTCACCATTTTCTACCCCACTGAGCTAGGAAATTAATAGTAAAACTTCATGCTGCTCTCTACTAAGCCCAATTTAGTTGAATATATGATCTCAAATAGTAACTAGAGAAGCAGTCATTTATTTAAKTTAAATAAAACCATTCCAGTGGATGAGGAAAGGAAGAAATACTACATTTGCAGAGACTCCTAAGCCAGGACTTGCTCCTCCATCCACACATGGTTGCTCTTTGCATGCGTTGAAGCACACTGCTGATCTGTGTCAAACAAGCGGCATGAGAGCGGAAGGCAACTAACGGGTGCTCCCTGGGTGCTGGGCAACTAAGAAAACTCCAGCTGGTACCGAGGCTATAAATAGAAAAAGATGATACCATTTCACACCGCAAACATTTCCATGACAGTTAATTATTCATCACTACGGAAACATTTTTTTTTTTCTGCTATACTTGAAAGAAAGCGATGAGTAATGAGCAAGGAGTACTGGACAAGAGTTAGGGCAGTTGCCTTTAGCCTGAAGAAAGAGGGTGACACAGAGTGAGCGCTTGGGTGATGACTTTCCTGAGGGTTAACACCTTTGCCCTCTCGCGCTTGGCCCAGGTCCCTTTCATTGTCTTCATCACTGGCCAAAGCAGCTGTAGCTCCTGGCTCAGACAGATGTGCATGCAACAGAAGCCATGTTAGACATGATCCACTGAAAGAGCTTGTGTCTTCATCTCCATCTCCCCATGGAGATGAAGGGCAACCTGGCAGCTGCTGAGATGGGTTACCTGCCTTGTGGGCAGCAGCAGAGCTGATAGGTCACAGTTTTCACCAGGTGACAACCTGCGCTTGTGTCTACAGCACTTTCTACAGCAGAACACTTCCCGCATGCAATCACACCTGACCTTTAGAGCACGTGCATCCAGAAGCACTCTTCCAGTGCACAGGTTGTTCACCAAATCCTAAACCTAATGTAAAAATAACAGTTACCACCTGCTCCTTCACCTTAGTGAGCTGGAACAAACTACGTGAGCTGARTATTTTCCCATACTTGTGGTGAATGAAACATAGTTTCACATTTTAAGTACAAAATGTGATTTAAAAATACATCAGAATATTGAAAGGAAATCAACTCCTATTAAGATGAGCAAAGCATTTGATGCAGCTGCCTGAGTCTAAGATGACCTGTGCTTCCTCCAAAGTTTGTGAACTGGGGTCAATTGACTCAGTTTAGAGTATTTTAATTTTAGAGAATTCTTAACTATATTAAACTATATGCATCAATAATGCTCAGGGCAGTAGTGCTATACCTGCAGAGGCTAATTTTTCAGATTCACACATGATATTGCTGGACAACATTCCTTGTTTATCAGATCAGAAATATAATACTTTCTCCCTTTTTCTTAACAAAAACTTTCTGTAAATGAAAGCAGAAATATCACACTATCTGAAAAAAAGAAAAGCTTTCTGAAGACATAAATGTAGGGCAAAAAGGTAAAGCAAAGCAGACTGGCTACCCTCGGAACAAAGTAATGTTCATGAAATCAATTCCAACATGCAACCAGTGCAAATGCAAAGCCAGGATTCAAATGCATGTCTAGTGACATTATAGGAGTTAGAACTCACTGGACTCTTTAATCTTCTACATTTAAATGACACCATTTAAAAGCAAAAAGAGAAAATCCTCAGAGTTTTGCATTTTCCTTTCATTCATTGCCATTCATTTCAGATGAATCCTAGCAGAGGAAGATGTCAGACCCTGCAGCGCCKTGTTGCTCCTAGCAGTTTATGCCACCTGGTCGCCCTCTTGTTGCTCCTCCAGGCCTGATGCCACTGGATTTGATACTGACACGGTTCAGACTCAATCTGATTATCAAAGAAAAAGTGGTGTGAAAATCCCTTAATCCTCCTTCCTGCCCTGAGCCCAAGGCAAGTGTCCCGCAGGCTGCACGCTGCAGTGTGCATTACTTTGTACTTAATAAAATTAACAGTCGCTATAGAAAATAGGATTTGAAATGACATTTCAGCCAAGGGATCTTTCCAAACCTGGAGATGAGACAATTACGATATCAGTTCTGATCTTTGTTTTATATCCCTGGCATTTGTTGATTAACTTTCTAGATCAAGTTTATCACATTGCATTTTAAGAGGCATAAGAAAAAGCAGACGAGAAAGACTACATTGCTCATTTTAGATAACCTTTTTCTTAAATTGTTCTCCATGACTATAAGCTTATCAATCATTTCACTGTGTTTACTTACTTCAACTTGTAAAATGGAAGAATCCAGGTGAAAACAAAATACAGAAATGCCTCAGGTCCACTCTCTATACTGTTTTCTCTGCAAYAGAGAAACTAATCCCTTCTACACGCAATACATGTTCAGCTCCTGTTAATCTATTATTAATAATTTWAAAAAAATTAAACTGGGAAATCAAGATCCCAGCCACACAACTCAGTGGCACAGAAGAGATTAGTGAGCGTTATGCAAGGTACATTAATCCTCACAGACAGACTCCATCCTGGACAATTCTGGACTACATCTTTTTAATATTCTCCCCAAAAGAAGACCACGTTGAGGACTTACGGTTGGTTGTCTTGCTTTGATCGCTCTGAGCGCTGTCATTTGACTGGTTGCTTGAGACAGAGGACACGCTTGAGCTCCTGACAAAGCCAAAGGCTGCCAGCTTAGCCGCCGGCAAGCGGGAATATCCAGGGGGACGAAGTCCAGACTGGCATGGCTTGGGCAGATTTGACTTTGCAGAATTTGGACACGGGCCTTTTTTAAGATCCACTGAAAGAGAAAAGGAAATTTTCATTAGGTTGGGACATACTGAAGAGTGCTTGTATCAACTAACTACCTAAAGTTAGTTCAGATAGGGAACACGAGCTCTAATGCTGCTCGGTCTGCAGGGGTATATTCACTCCGTAGAAAACCATTTGCGAAAAAATTACAAGGTGCAATAGGTTTTAAAAATATGAAATACAGCAAGAACTTATCAGGCAAAAAGTTTAAAATTTAGCAAAGTAATCTGGTACTAGCCTCTTTTTTTCTTTCCCTTTAAATGTTATCTTATGTTGCAACACTTTCTGACTTTTCATTTGCTATTTGCCAAATAAAAGAAATACACAGAGGTAACAAGCCACAAGTGCTGCATCTGATCTCCAAAGCTACTGCAGAATCCCATAATTTTCCTCAGGGACAGTACTTCATACTGTGTCAAAGAAAATACTTCATTTGAAATCTTCCTCCTTTCAGACTTTGCTAAATGAAGAATGTCCTTCTCTTGCCCCAAGCCTGGCAAGATGAACATGTCCCAGTAAGCAATCCTTCTGTAACATGCCAGTAACTACCAAAGGACTTCACCTCAATAAAAAATATCAGTCTATATGAATCATATCAGACAAGTCTTAAGCAAATGCAAGTAGCAGGTTATTAGGATAAAATTAGGCAAGAATAACAGTTGGGTGATCAAGTCTGCTGTGGTAACCTGGTCATTCTTCTCCTGTTTGTGCCTTCACATGTACAAATACATGAGGGGAGAATGCAGGGAGGAAGGGGCCAAGTTTTTCTCAGTGGTGGTCAGCGACAGGACAAGGGGAAATGGGTACAAGTTGAAACCCAGGCAGTTCCATCTSCATGTGAGGAAGAACTTCTTCCCTGTGAGGGTGACAGAGCCCTGGCACAGGCTGCCCAGGGAGGCTGTGGAGTCTCCTTCTCTGGAGATCTTCCMAACCCGCCTGGATGCCRCCCTGTGCCCCGTGCTCTGGGTGTCCCTGCTGGAGCAGTCCCCTGTTGGACTGGATGATCTCTAGAGGTCCATTCCAATCTTAAACATTCTGTGATTCTGTGATTTACCTGTATTCCGCTGTACACCGCTTTTCCTTAAGCAAGCTTTTCTAGAGAAATTCAGAATATAGTTCCAGAAATGTTCCAAGGTGTCATTGTACAAGGTCTGACATTTAGAGTTTGATTTGGTTTGAAAGGTCTGGGTAGTAAGTGAGTCCGGACCTTAACTGTACCAAAAAAAAAAAAAAAAAAAAAAATTGGGCAGAGGATCGGAAACATTCTATGGTGAAACCAGATCACTAGTCCCTGTGGAATGCCGTCTACCAAAAAAAAAAAAAAAAAAAAAAAAATTGGGCAGAGTTTCCTCTTGTATTTTTGGTGCTACCAGATTTTTGTTCCCTGTGGAAACCCATGGAATGAGGACATTAAAAAAAAAAAAAAGTTTTCTAAAAGCTGATGCTGAAAAGGTTAAACAGATGGGATCAGTAGGTTAGGAGACACAGGACCATTGCAAATATCAATGTATTCTGTCAGAAGAGGCCACAAATTCACTTCATTTCCATTTCTACATAGTGATACTATTTGGGCATTAACTAAACTCATACTTCAAAGAAAGAAATGAACATTCATAATATGAAAGGAAAAATAGAAATTAACTGCACCGTAAAAATATTATTATAGGATTTAATTTTTTTGTAAACTAAGTAGGTCACAGCCTTATTAATTTTAATGAACCATTACTCTTTGAGGAGACTTTATAGAAAACAAGACTAACTCCTTCTTCAAGCAGAAAATGTTATGGGGATTTTGAAATATATTTGTGGATCTCATTACAATAATAATACTAAACTGTGTTTGACAAAACTAAGCTTCTTTTTTTTGCAAGAAAAATATATGTAACACCAGGCAAAATAAAAAATCATTGTTTTTTCACTCAAAATACATTTCTATAAAAGACATATTGCTTGTTCAGTGAACAAAAGAATTTATATAGTACAGACCCTTAAACCTACATCTTTTTTTAACTCCTTTTCAAGACTTCAGGCTTCCCGTAAGAGTCAATGAAACAGATGTCTGATTACAGCATCTTCATCAAAAGAATAATAACAAATACCTACACTGTGTAATGAAAAAAAAATTTAAAATCTCCATTCATCCTTTTTTTCATTGATGGGAATAATTCTGTTCTCTGATCTTGAATTTTACTTCATTAGGCCTGTCTGAGRTTGCTTATACATCTCTGTGGGTCCAGATGCTGATGAAGACCAGAGCATGCACATTAGCAACGAGAACAGCAAAGACTGGGTATTTACTATTGCTGTTTACTGCTAGGCTTGTGCAGAACTACAGTTATTTTATAGCTGCTTTACTGTTATCTGCAATGCCCTGTCAAGGCAGATTTCTTGACTCCTTTATGGTAGGACTTGGCAATCAAGTCATATCTAAATGACTACCCAGAAAATCAGCACAGAACCAGATCTTAATGCTGTCCTCAGCAGTGCTTGCAATTATTGCAAATCACCTCAGCTGATTTTAATTATATCAATTTAGGAACGATAAAAATTGTCCATTGGAAGGTTGTAGGAATCCCCATCGCTAGAACGGTCAAGCTAATTATCCTCTAGTCAGAATCTCTCCATTTGAGAGAATTAATACCTTCCTGCATTAGCAAAAGCTACAAGGTGGGATTCAGACTAGCTTAGGCTGAGATCAGACTGTGTTTTTTCTAGAGACTGGTGATCTTGTGTTCTCTTGCTTGGCAGCCAGACACAAGCTGCCCCAATGATGTGGCAGCTACACTTCTGTGTTTGTGTGGCCAGAGCAGCCCATTGCACAGCACATGAGTTAGAGTCATCATCAGCCTCACCAGGCATCTAGGGACTAATTCCAGGAAGGAATTGAGTGTGGCAAAAGACATACATCCCAGCTGCAGTGCAACTGGAAGAAGATGTGGACCCTCTCTTGTGGGTTTTGCAGGTTTCCAAAAGAGACACAAACAGGCTGAGAGTTGAGGTTGCTCTCTCCTAATAAGCTCTGATATCTACATTTTAGAGCAAGGAGCTACAGAAAAGTCCTGAAGCATATTAGGAGAAATTCCACTACGAGGTGAGAAAATAAGAGGTTAGGAATGAWGAAACATGAGAAATTCCACTACGAGGTGAGAAAATAAGAGGTTAGGAATGAAGAAACGTTTCAAGAACGTGAAATGAGCTTGCCCTAGGAATATAAGGATCACCCGGGACTTCCAAGTCCCACATTAGCAGGGGGAAATCCCCCTGCCATGCAGYCCCCAGGTCCCTGTGCTCTGCTATGCAGAGGGAGGAACCAGCCTGCAGCCAGTGGGACTCAGAGCAAGCCAGGGAGCCCAGCGCTTCCCGGACACCACCGCATCCTGCACAGCTCTGGGATCACATCAAAACTGCTTTACCAAGGAAAATTATTTAAATCAGGATGTGTTTCACCATGATTTTCAGTGTCTTCTATCACTAGAAAATGCCCAGTCAGCTTTTTCTACTTTTTCTTCAAAATCTTTCTCCCGGGCTCAGGCAGATGATTAAGTTGCTTTTCTCACACTTTTGTTCTTTTGGAGTTTTCAGTTTTGTCACTAAAGCTTTCCCCTAAACTGACACTATTTTATGTTTTGAATTCATCATCATCCTTTCATTGTTTTTCATTTCTCATTTCAGTAAACCAGCTCTGTTGCGTTCCCTGTGAAAAGTGACACAAGTACCCAAGGGCAGAACATTATCCTCATTAGGGATGCACATGAATCCTTAAAGATAAGTCAGTTTGTGTCTACTTTTCCATTAATATACATATAACATCAGCATATGTACCTATTTTCTGTTCTAAATATCAAGTTTTACAATATTTATTTTATTTTATTTTATTTAGAGGTATAGGACTTCTACATACTAGGTCTGTAATTCAAAATGAAAGTTGTTTTAAATAGCAGTTTTCCTTTTAATAAAAATCTGCCAAAATAAGCATAAAAATTGGCAAACATATTTCCAGCTGTCTGACTGCCTGAAGCTAATTACAGAATTAAGTATTGTTGTCTGTATGGCATACAAGTGGCTTTTCTACAACACTTCAGCCGTTCTCATCTAGGAACATGAAACAATTTTGAGGTAGCAATGGATTGACACAAAACAGATGTGCCTGGAAAGGACACAGAAAAGTCTGAGCTAGCTGCTTTTCTGCCTCCATATTGCACATGTACATACACATATGTAACCAAGRCACAACTTTCATGCGACTTCTCTGTGGAATCTGAAGTATGCTTTACACAAGGCAAAAGAAAAGTTAGAAAAAAATGAGTTACATGACTGTTCATATGAAAAAGAGTAGTAGTTCAATACTTCAATCCTACAGTTCAGGAATACTTGGCAATACTTTTTTTTTTGCCATTTATTATTTATTATGAATTTTTTCTTAAAACTTTCATCATAAGGTGTTATTTTCTCTCAGAGATCACAGCAACTTTTATAGTATGCTGCCAACACCATTATCCTTACTCCGTGTTGGGGAATCTGCGGCAGGGAAGTTATGTGCAAGGTCACAGAATTAGTCAGGGATAATACAAGCAGTTTGTTGAGGCATCTCAGAATTAACCCAACCTTTGATACTTTTGGAAGTCAAAAATAATTCACCCAAGTATTCCCTGCTATCTTCACAATAACTTTTCTCTGAGCAAGAACCAAGSTATGGTTGGCTGGTGCTTAATTCAAACTGCAAATGCCCATCTTTGCTTTTTAGCTGAAGGGCAAAGCAATGATCCCACAGAAGGTGCCAGCACAGGAAGCGTCACACTTATGCACTTATTGCATCCTTCACTGGAAGTCCAGAGCAGCAAGGCTGTATATTTCTATTTCTATTATCTATGTCTATGTTCAGCATGGTTTAGAAAGTTGCTGCCTGCCTTCATCTGACTCCCTTAAAAGAGAAAGATGGATGGGGGATGGACATGTAGAAGGACATCTTTCAAGACAGGAATCTAACCT